TATATCTCTTTGTATATCCATGCCCTCAGTTTGCTAATGATGCTAAATTCTATGGCTCCTTTGTTATAGTTATGTTTTGGCAGTCTCCTCAGTTTATAGTTAATGTTAAGCCCATATTCAACTGGTACTACTTTATGATTCATGCACCTTTATGTTGTGTTCCTAATGTTTCCCTTTAGTATCTCCATTTCAGAACACCACATCCTTGTTATCCAAGCTATCTCCAAGACCTTACAAGCCACACCTAACACATCCTTCCTAACCCTACCTACCAGCCATACAAGCCAACAGAATCTGGAAGCGGCGACTCCCCCGCCTCTGTTTAGTCTTTGCAATATGTGAAAGAAATTGGATAATTGTACCATCTCCTCCTTGCATTCTGACTGATGCACCATGGTGGCAGAAACAGTCCTGAACCTAGCTTAGTCTGTCCTAACCCTTTTCTTCAGTCCCACCAAACATACACAGACCATGGTTGCCATGTTCTCAGCTCTGTTATTAAAAGTGCACTCAAGGAAAAACTTTTATTGATCCTAGTGGTTAAGGAATAACATTAACAGGGTTAAATACCCCACCAACATTATACAGAAAGCCTTACAGTTGCTGAAATACTGGGCAACAACACACATTTCAGCAAATAAAGGCCAGGTCTAAATTAAATGTTTGATTTGTTATATTACATAATTCAGTAATGATTGAAATTATGGCCATTATCAGTTTTTATCGGCATTAAGAAACTGCTAGGCATTGTCTGCAAGCAGCTGAGAACTGCTAGCTAACTGGCAAGCACAAAAATTGTGAACTTTGTAGTACAGCCCCCGAGAAATCGTCAGAACGGCGAAATGCACAGTTCGAGGAGAGAAATTGGGACCATAGTCTGATTAACTGACACAGACATGGTGGCGTAGCAGGAAGATCAGAATGCCTTGAACCAAGAGGTTTAGTTCAAATCCCACACTGTAAACCCCAATGTGCTCTCATTACTCAACTTGAAGAAACCCGTTGCACTTAATATATCTGAGTACAGTTACTTAGTCATTTTTGTAGTCATTACTCAAACCCTGTAGGGGGTCCAGATTTGAGTTGTATCGGCTTGAAAAAGAAAAAGTAATGCCCCCACTAAACTACACCTCCAACAAATTTCCCAGTGTGCCTTGCCTTTGAGTGATTTGTACAGTTACTACCCATGACTTGTTAGTGACCGAGACATGGTTATTTATAATATAATATGCCATTTAGCAGACGCTTTTATCCAAAGCAACTTACAGTCATGCGTGCATACATTTTTACGTATGGGTGGTCCCGGGGATCAAACCCATTACCCTGGCGTTACAAGCGCCATGCTCTACCAATTGAGCTACCAAATTCGTTCATTTTCAGTCGTGGCCTTCACCAAGTGAGTTCCTAGGGGAATATTATCATTATAATAAACTCTTTATGACAATACATTACATATCTCATAAGCACTTGGTTTACAGGCCACATCAGGCCTGCAAGTAGAGTTGCAAAATTCCAGTAACTTTCAGGTAAAAACAATTCCAACTGGGATTTCTGAAAAACATGGCAAATGTACCAGAATTTTGCAACCCTACCTGCAAGTCCCATTATGCTGGCTTGCAAACTGATGTGTAATTAAGCAATAACGCATGAGGGGGTGTGGTATATGGCCAATATACCACGGCTAAGGGCTGCTCTTACGCACAACGCAACGCGGAGTGCCTGGATACAGCCCTTAGCCGTGGTAAATTGGTCATATACCACAAACCCCCGAGGTGCCTTATTGCTATTATAAACTGGTTACCAACATAATTAGAACAGTAAAAATAAATGTTTTGTCATACCCGTGGTATTTGGTCTGATATATCACGGCTATCAGCCAATCAGCATTCAGGGCTCGAACCACCCAGTTTATAATTCCTATCAGAATCTAGCCAGAGTTAGGATATCTAACCGTTGGAATTTTTATTCACCAGCAACCTGCATTCATAATGACTGCCAGGGTTAGGAACAGTGTGAGGAGACTATCTAAGCCATTTAAACTGGAATAACCATTTCAGTATTAGGTGCAAAAAATCTAACTAAATGATTGGATTAGTTTAGAAAAATGTGTTATTTCTTTGTGTAGCATAACATTAATCAATCAATCGCTCAATGTACATGCAAAAACAGATATGAAAAACAATTCAAAAAACACAACCTGCAGTAGAGCATACTGGGTAAAAAATATAATTTATCATAACTTAAAGTGAGTTGATGTGACTTCTCATTTAGTTTTGAGTCAGTACCACATAAAATTAAGTAATGTTGACTTTTAATTTACTTTGAGCTCAACTTACTATAAGTATTTGAGTTTTAAAAAATGCCTTGGCGTTTACAGTGCAGGTGAGGACATGCTGAATAATAATTACTGTAAATGAACAATCATGTATGTCAAAGTGTGTAATATTGTAAGTTGAAAACACTATGTTAAAAGCACTGTGTGTGTGTGTGTCCTTAAGCTTGACAAAGAACTGTGAACCAATCAGGGCCTTGATGGGCTTGGCAACAGTAACGATGCGTAATTAAACTTTTTTCATTAAGAACGTTTCACGTGACGTCCTGACAACTGATACACAGAAATGTTCCTGCAACGTTCCCATGAAATGTGTCTTGAACATTTAATATCTTATATTCTGAGAACATGGCTACTATGTTCTGTGTATGTTTGGTGGGACGTTGATGGAATGTTCTCCTAACCCTCAAACTGGACAGAGGAGTGTCCTTGCAATGTTCCAATGAAACATGTCTGGAACATTAAATATTGGCTATTCTGAGAACATGGCTACCACGTTGTGGATAAGTTCTGTTTGACATTTAGGGAATGTTCTCCTAACTAACGCCAAAACATGCTAAATACTGTATGTTCTCAGGAGGTTTTTGCTAACATACATAGAATGTTCCCTAATTTACGGAAAACTGGACACTCAAACATCTGGGGAATATTACGGGTAACATTACAAATTGTTCTCTCTCCCTAGAACTGTTAGCTAGGAAACAATGTTATCAAAATACTTGATAGGTGCCCCTTGGTGCCTTTGACAGATGACATCAAAGAGAACACAGAAGCCCAGTCTCCAACAGCTGCCCACCTTTTTAAAATAGCTGGAGGTTTGATTAGGGTTCAGTTTATTTTTTTATTTTAGGAACAAGATGGATCCTGATTTAAGCTAGGTGAGTTAGAGCGATGGAGAGACTTTGTGAAGAGGGGTTAGAGAGGGAGAGTAAATATTACTGGTAGATAGGATAGTAAATATTCATTCCTCTTTCAACTTGAAGACAGAGAACAGAAAATTCCTCTGACTTCCTGTTTCGATCTAATTTGGACCGGTACACCAAGACCCTTCTCTAGCCCTTTTACTAAGCACTCTTGTCCCCCCTATTCTTGAGTAAGCAGTGGTATATCTGAGGTGCTTATGCACAAAGACCATACATAATACAATGACATCAGGAACATACCATGATATTACAGGGGTTTAGTCCAGAGAGAGGGGAACCGAATGAGGAAATGCAAACAACCCATTGGGTTGGGAAAGTAAATGGAGAGAAAGACAGAGAGTGGGAGGGTGGGGAGAGAGAGGGAGAGAGGGAGAGAGCGCGATGCTCGAAGCGAAGAGAGAGAGATATACGCTCTCGACTCGATAGCTCGATCTCGCTATCTCATCGCTCTCTCTCGCTCTCGTCCGCTCTCTCTCTCTCTCTCTCTCGCTCTCTCTCTCTCGTCTCTCTCTCTCTCTCTCCTCTTCTCGCTCTCTCTTCGTCGAGAGCGCTGCTTCCTTAGTTTTTGTTGTTTGCCCCAAAAGCTCAAGAGCCATAAGAGGGGAAGAGAGAAGGAATTTAAGAGCGTGAGGGGGGGACATTCTCTAGTTTTCCAGCTTTTCTTTTGCCTCCTTATATGGTCAAACGACGACTGTGGAATCAGTGGGCAGAAGGGAGTGGGTCGAAACTCAGAGAGAAAGAGAGAGGGAAAGAATGAGAGGGGAAAGGGGTGAGAAGTGTAGAGGAGAGGGGTGTGCATTGTCGTGTGCTTGGGACACTGGGGACTTCCACCAGCGGCAGCCGGACACACACCACTGGTCAGCAGAGCGAGACAGGTCAGGCAAAGAGAGGCATAACCAGGAGGCTTATCAGGGGCTGAACTGCTAACAGCTGCAGAGCGTGAGTAGCCATTATTCTGGTGTGCCGTCACACACACACACACTGCGGGATGCTGAGCTGTGTAGCGGTCTGGTGCGTTGTGATGCTGACAGCTGGTGGTGTGGTGATGGATTGCTGACTGCAGGGTGACATAGTGAGTGTTGGTATGTGCGGGGCGAAGGTCCCCTATCCCTCTCTAAGCATGACTGATAGATAGAGCTATTAATATCCCTCTCATCTGTCACCAAGCGGCTGCCACCAACAGACAAGACTGGCTGCTGATAGACACACAGAGGCCAAAGACTAAACCCTAGAGAGAGTCATACTGTACACACAAGTACAACTTGATACTACAACTGTCGGCAATATAACAGTCTCAAAAGATGACAGGCAGGCGTGTATTGTGATGTCCTTAATGTCTTATCAAAGATGTCTATTGTACTCATTGTTGCGCTTGTGTTCCTTCCACTCTGCTTGAATGTGAAATGCACTTTGTGGATATTCTATTCATTGCAGTAATCCATTTATCCAGTTCTCATTACCTATAACAGACTGATTATGATGTATGCTCTCTACTACTACTCAGTGTCAGGGAGCGGATCTCTCTGTATAAACACTGGCACACAGACAAGGCAAACAGACGAACTTGACTCCTCCGAGGTGGATTCTGTTTATCTAGCTGAACTCTTAAAAACCTAGGCTACTTACAAATGTACTGTATGTATGCAGGTCATGCATTCGGGTTCTTGATCATAACTTGAAGGAACCCCCTTTTTATACAGTAAGAAAATTGAGATTCCCAAACTCTCCCCCTCTCCTCAGGTTAGTGGGGTGGGATTCCCGGTGCCAAGATGACGGAGCGCTATGACTGCCACTACTGTAAGGAATCCCTGTTTGGTAAGAAGTACGTCCTGAGAGAGGAGAACCCATACTGTGTCAAATGTTACGAGAGCCTGTACTCCAATACCTGTGAGGACTGCAAGAAACCCATCGGCTGCAACACCAGGGTATAACACACACACGCACAAACTACTATCACTGTCTAATTTTTTACCCTCCATCCAAGAACATTGTCAAAGCGTGCTGTCTGATGTTCAGATTCTGATTGTCTCTCTGTTGTCTCCGTAGGACCTGTCCTACAAGGACCGCCACTGGCATGAGGAGTGTTTCCAGTGCTTCCAGTGTAAACGCGCTCTGGTGGACAAGCCCTTCTCCACCAAGGATGACCAGCTGCTCTGCACTGAGTGCTACTCCAACGAGTACTCCTCCAAGTGCCACGAGTGCAAGAAGACCATCATGCCTGGTGAGAACATACACCTAGATCCATCTAATCTATACTAGACACACACAAAAGACATGCATGCACGTGGTCATGCACACACACACAGGCATGTACACGGACTACTCTTGCACTATCACAGATTACACAAACCTTCAATGGTTGCAGACAAAATGTAGATCTGTCAAAATACCAATAAACACTGCCCCTTATGACATTATCATCTATTTTATGTTATAATGCTCCATAAAGATATTCAAAATTAAATCATCTTTATCAGAGCAGCCCTGAAATTTGTTGATTTGTTTGAACCAGCGTCCATTTAGTAATGTCATTATTATCATTATTACACACACACACACACACACACAGTCATCGTTGTCGTAGTATGCGAATAGCCAGGACTAAACTCAAACGCTGTTGGATGATTCTAACTAATCTACATGTCTTTGAATGTCCTCATTCACATAAGCCCTTGGGATGGTGCTTCTCCCAGACAGTCAGTGTAACTATACTCTGGTGAGGTCTGGGGTGCAGCAGAGCCGGAACACTGACTGTAGATCTAAATGAACTCCAGACCTCCTTGAACATAACAATGCCTCTCTGTCCCCACTCTGTTTCTATACAAAGACCACCACGCAGTTTTTAGAGAGCAATTCTGAGTTGGCGGACAGTGAGGGAATGTGTGTGTAACCCAAGGACTAGTAGTGTGTGTATGTCCTCTTTCTCACTCTCCATCCTTTATCCTTTCCCAATTTCCCCTTATTAATCTACCTCTCTCTCTCCATCCCTCTCTAATTCCCTCATCCTCCCTCCTTCCTTCCCTCCATCCCTCCCTCCCTTGCTCCATCTCCTTCATGCAGGCTCCAGGAAGATGGAGCATAAGGGTAACAGCTGGCATGAGACCTGCTTCACCTGCCAGCGTTGCCAGCAGCCCATCGGCACCAAGAGCTTCATCCCCAAAGAGAACCATAACTTCTGTGTGCCCTGCTACGAGAAGCAGTTTGCCATGCAGTGTGTGCATTGCAAGAAAGTAGGTCAAGGGTCATGACAGTGTAAATACTGTAGTGTTTCTTCCTCAATTTTTCTGACCTCTAAAGTGGTGTATACAACATAGAAAACAGGGCTCTTTGGACATCTTCTGAAAGTCTGGCTGTGTCTGGCTATAGGAATATTGAGTAGCACTTGATATGTATATACATGTTCTCAGTATCTATATAAGTGGCAATTTATTAAATGGATTGCTGCAACCGCTAAGATCTGGTATCTGGATGGCAGCACTTGGTGTGTGTGCGCGTGTGTATGTGCGTACTTGTGTGCACACGTATGTGTGTGCATGGTGGAATGTGTGCCTGTATGCCTAACCCTTTCTCTCCCCATTTAAATAGCCCATCACTACTGGTGGGGTGACCTATCGCGACCAGCCCTGGCATAAGGACTGCTTCCTGTGCACCGGCTGCAAGCAGCAGCTATCTGGCCAGCGGTTCACCTCCCGTGACGACTTTGCCTACTGCCTCAACTGTTTCTGCAACCTGTATGCCAAGAAGTGTGCCTCCTGCACCACCCCCATCAGCGGTAAACTATCTATCTATCTGGGTGTGTTCCAGATACACGTTTTCTTATCAGGTCATGCACAGATCATCAGATTTTTACAACATGTGGAATAGTGCTTAGTGTATCAGGAACTACACTAACATGATAGCACGATGCAACAATCTGTGCAGACCTGTGGTGAGACTGTGTGTACCCGAACGCAGCCTGTGTGTATCTAACAGAGAGTCAGTCAGTCAATTAGATGCTCACTCACATCACGCCGTACACTGTGGCCCTGTTTGATTCCTTACGGTCTCCTTTCCTCCCTCCCCAATCACTGATCTATGTAATTTGATGAGAAAAAGCAAGGTACAGTATATATGTCCTACTGTTTCCTCCACTCTGATCTGTGACAACCTCAATGAAGGATGCATTTATGTTTTAGGATGCAGAGACCTCTCTCACCTTTGGATAACAGTATGTTTTGATCTCTCCCCGTCTCTCTCAGGTCTGGGTGGCAGTAAGTACATCTCCTTTGAAGAGCGCCAGTGGCACAACGACTGCTTCAACTGTAGGAAGTGCTCCGTCTCCCTGGTGGGCCGGGGTTTCCTCACTGAGCGTGACGACATCCTGTGCCCTGAGTGCGGCAAAGACATCTGATTGGCAGGCAGTGTGTGGCCGACAAATCTGATTGGATAGCAATGAAACAACCAGGAAGAATGTTTTAAAATAATACATTTAAAAAATCAGCGAGGAACCGTAGCAATGAGTCCCAACAACGACCCGTCAGAGCACAACTGAATATATATATACAGTGAGGGAAAAATGTATTTGATCTCCTGCTGATTTTGTACGTTTGCCCACTGACAAAGACATGATCAGTCTATAATTTTAATGGTAGGTTTATTTGAACAGTGAGAGACAGAATAACAACAAAAAAATACAGAAAAACGCATGTCAAAAATGTTATAAATTGATTTGCATTTTAATGAGGGAAATAAGTATTTGACCCCTCTGTAAAACATGACTTAGTACTTGGTAGCAAAACCCTTGTTGGCAATCACAGAGGTCAGACGTTTCTTGTAGTTGGCCACCAGGTTTGCACACATCTCAGGAGGGATTTTGTCCCACTCCTCTTTGCAGATCTTCTCCAAGTCATTAAGGTTTCGAGCCTGACGTTTGGCAACTCGAATCTTCAGCTCCCTCCACAGATTTCCTATGGGATTAAGGTCTGGAGACTGGCTAGGCCACTCCAGGACCTTAATGTGCTTATTCTTGAGCCACTCCATTGTTGCCTTGGCCGTGTGTATTGGGTCATTGTCATGCTGGAATACCCATCCACAACCCATTTTCAATGCCCTGGCTGAGGGAAGGAGGTTCTCACCCAAGATTTGACAGTACATAGCCCCGTCCATCGTCCCTTTGATGCGGTGAAGTTGTCCTGTCCCCTTAGCAGAAAAACACCCCCAAAGCATAATGTTTCCACCTCCATGTTTGACGGTGGGGATGGTGTTCTTGGGGTCATAGGCAGCATTCCTCCTCCTCCAAACACGGAGAGTTGAGTTGATGCCAAAGAACTCCATTTTGGTCTCATCTGACCACAACACTTTCACCCAGTTCTCCTCTGAATCATTCAGATGTTCATTGGCAAACTTCAGACGGGCATGTATATGTGCTTTCTTGAGCAGGGGGACCTTGCGGGCGCTGCAGGATTTCAGTCCTTCACGGCGTAGTGTGTTACCAATTGTTTTCTTGGTGACTATGGTCCCAGCTGCCTTGAGATCATTGACAAGATCCTCCCGTGTAGTTCTGGGCTGATTCCTCACCGTTCTCATGATCATTGCAACTCCACGAGGTGAGATCTTGCATGGAGTCCCAGGCCGAGGGAGATTGACAGTTATTTTGTGTTTCTTCCATTTGCGAATAATCGCACCAACTCTTGTCACCTTCTCACTAAGCTGCTTGGCGATGGTCTTGTAGCCCATTCCAGCCTTGTGTAGGTCTACAATCTTGTCCCTGACATCCTTGGAGAGCTCTTTGGTCTTGGCCATGGTGGAGAGTTTGGAATCTGATTGATTGATTGCTTCTGTGGACAGGTGTCTTTTATACAGGTAACAAGCTGAGATTAGAAGCACTCCCTTTAAGAGTGTGCTCCTAATGTCAGCTCGTTACCTGTATAAAATACACCTGGGAGCCAGAAATCTTTCTGATTGAGAGGGGGTCAAATACTTATTTCCCTCATTAAAATGCAAATCAATTTATAACATTTTTGACATGCATTTTTCTGTATTTTTTGTTGTTGTTATTCTGTCTCTCACTGTTCAAATAAACCTACCATTAAAATTATTGACTGATCGTTTCTTTGTCAGTGGGCAAACGTACAGAATCAGCAGGGGATCAAATACTTTTTTCCCTCACTGTATATATATATATATATATACACACACACACATATATCTCATAATAGCACAATATACTATTAGGCTATTAACCCAATATGCTATTTGAGTTCTAAAATATACATTTGACAATCATAGGTTTTTGTGTCATTGGTCTTAGATATTTTTGGGGTGCAACGGCAAATATTGCTTTCTGCATACCCTGGCTTGATATCCAATATCAGTTTGAGGTTTTGCACAAGAATGTGTGCTGTCATAATCTATTATATACTGATAAGATTCATATATTCAGAGTTTATGTATTTAGAAGGGAAAGTCCACCGAAATTACACAATTACTGCAGTCTATGGAAACAAATATGTAATTCTGTAATTTGGGTGAACTATCCCTTTACGTTTTGAAAGGCTATTTTGTGGTGTGTGTGAAGGAGCACAAGTTTCAAAGTAAATGAGTTCCAAAGTAAATGTGAACAAGCTCAAAGAAACAGGTTTACCGGGCGTTTAACTGGTGCAAAGTTTGTAATGTTATTCAGATGGGAATAAAACATAAAAGCTACAACTAAAGAAAAATAATAAATGTTAATAACGGAAGTGTAAATAATGACAGTTTGATAAGCTCCATTTACCACCCCCAATAAATAGCAAGTATACATTTGAGACTGGTGCAAATGCCTGGTAACACTGACTCTAAGTGCCTATAAACGTGAGAGCCGACACAGCACTGTCTGTATCAGTCAGCAAGGGCGCCGATGGAAAGTCTGTTTGAAGTCCAATAAAGAACTACAGAAAGACCAATTGCTGTTCACCTTGTATTACTGTAAGGAAGTGACAAGAAGTTAACAACAATGTCATCCTTTTCTAAAGGAGTTGGTAGAAGTTGCCCCAAACTACTGGTCCAGTGTCAGATATCAGTGGCGGTCAGTGCCGTTTAAGATGAGGACAATAATCTTTTTCATGAGCATATCGTTATTCCATTCACCCAGTTCAATGTAACAGTGATAGGTTGAGGCTACTACATGATACTCAAATTTACCCTATACCCATCATGAGATTGCTACAACCTAGCCTATGAATGAAAGTTTACAATGTAGGTACACACACGTCGAGAGAAAAATTTGAGGTGACAGACAGTGACACATTCAATACCCGCCTTGCACACTCTTACCTGCATCTAGCTGATATAGGGTGTAATCATTAGTCCAACAGTTGCAATCGAGAGTTTCTATTGGACAAATTCAGGTATGTTTATGTCCGGCAGAATGAATACACCCCTGATGATGCATAAACACAGTTAACTTTCATAACAGCCACGTTGTATTCCTTCTCGCATGTATGCGCTCTCCTCCTCGCATCTTTTCCCTTCGTCGCTTGTGGACGTCAATGCACAACAAATTAGATGTATGTGACCAGGCGTAAAAACCTTTCCAAGTCAAACCATATCATAACTGCTACACACAGCCTACATCGTTGTCACCATATTAGCTGAAGTAGCGTCATAGTCAACATAGCTAATATAATTAACGCGTTAGTAAGTTTAGCTCTTACACCGGCGGGCCACGGTGGCAATAAGTTAGTAAAATCAAAAGCTTACCTTGACTTGGAAGAGTTCCAATGTTGTGCTGGATAGTCATAGCCAGCAAGCTAACATAGCATCCCTCTGTTTGAACAGGATGTTTGAGTAGGCGTAACTAACTAGCTGCATTTGCTAGCTAAGTAAGTGACACTGAAAGTGTCTTGCGTCTCCTTCATTTTGGAATAAATACATTTGTTCAAAACTGTTCAACTATTGTCTTTCTCTCTCTTTGAGTCAACTACTCACCACATTTTATGCACTGCAGTGCTAGCTAGCTCTATCTTATGCTTTCAGTACTAGATTAATTCTCTGATCCTTTGATTGGGTGGACAATATGTCAGTCCATGCTACAAGAGCTCTGATAGGTTGGAGGACATCCTCCGGAACTTGTCATAATTACTGTGTAAGTCTACGGAAGGGGGTGAGAACCATGAGCCTCCTAGGTTTTGTATTGAAGTCAATATACCCAGTGCTGTTGAGGCTACTGTAGACCTTCATTGCAAAATTGTATGTTTTAATAAATTATTTGGTGACATGATTATATTTAGTATAGTTTTATCTAAAAAGGACAACTTAAATGTTTACAATTTTCCTCCCCTTCCTCCTTTGAGGAACCTCCACTGTTAGATATGCTTTAATGCCCTAATAGTTAAGGGTACGATTCAAGTTTGGCTAATCTGATCCTAGATTAGGAACAATTTATTTCTCGTGCTCTTGCAAATCATGCAGGACTGATTCTCTTGCACCATCTAGTGGTGGACTTCCGTTTCATTCAAATGCACACACTCAAGGCTTCATACAAGGCAATTCACACTAGCTAATCATCTCATTACAAATTAAAGTGTCAGTCACAGCACTAATAGATTAACAATCAGTATCAAAACTCTTCAAAATCCCTAACCTGTCATGACCCACTGTGTTTGCAGTACATGTGGATATGGTACAGTACGGCTACACACAGACGCATGAAGACGTATGAAAATGAATATATGCATTCATCATTGTAGACCCTAAGTTTTCCTATTACGCTTTAAGTACCATCAGCCTCCATCACTCTAGGTCTGTAACCAGCACTGGAAGACTGAACTCTGAAACAAATACTGTAAGAGTAGCTGGCAGCATCACAGAAGTATAATGCATGGAGCAGCATAGAGGGTTAAACTGCTTATTCCACAAAATACTCATGGACATATATTGTGGTGCCATGTCTACAGTAGGAGTCAGTAGAGTCACAGTTCACTCTGGCTCCATGGGAGGGTGCTGTGGGACAGGAGAACTCACTGTAAGGACACTTGAGGGTCAGGTAATGTGTCAGAGAGAAGTTCTAGGGTCCAGGGGGACAGGTAGGGAAATGAGGACACATGTCACCACTCCAATGTTGGAAAAGTTGTGTGGTTGTCCCGACTGGTAGAGAATCACCCGCAGTGTGAGGCTGCTCTTCTCTATAGTGGACTGGTGGGTCTGTAGGGTCAAGGGTCAGAGCCATTTAACTTTTTTGATCTTTTTCATCACCTCTGGAGATTTTAGTTCACCCTGCAGAGACAGTGACATTTACAGAAGACATTCACAGATCAGATTGACATAACAACAACATTCCCAAAAATGATTCAATACCGTCACCAACCCTGGTCCTGGAGAGCTACTGACCATGAAGGCTTTTGGTCCAGTCCAACTGTAAAAAAAAATATATATAAAACAATACTTCAAAACCCTGATTAGCTGAATCAATTGTTTTAGTGTTGGGTTGGAATAGGGCTGTTATGGTGACTGTATTACCGCCACACCGGCGGTCACGAGTCATGACAGCAGTCAAATTCCAGGTGACCATTTAGTCACGGTAATTAGGCTTCTCCAAGCTCTGATGCTGCTGATGGTCATTAGTAGCCTACCAAACTTGCTAACTGCCTGGTAGTCAGCACTATATTGTCCCTCTAATCACTATGACATTGATGCAAAGGAAATCAAAAATCTAATCAAACACTTCATGAGAGCCCATGAGCTCATGTTGCACAACATTACTATAGGCTATGTAACTATGTGAGAAAACAGAGTGATGGCCTCTATTAAAAAGAGGAGGATCCCATCAGCTTTCTATAAGCTAGGCCTACTATATTTATTTCTCAACTTTCCTAATATTAAGCATATTGCTTCTCTTTACAACAGGTGTATAGCCTACCTGGCTGGCATGAAAATTAACCACGGGAAAAGCGTCCTCCATTCACTATTTAAGTGCATAGATTACATGTATTTTTTCCCCCTGACCCTGTTTCGAGAGGTGCATGATAATGGTCCATTATAAATCAAAACAAATTTCACACATATATTATTTAGTATACATCGCATTCGGAAAGTGTTCAGACCCCTTCCCTTTTTCCATATTTTGTTACATTACAGCCTTATTCTAAAATTGATTTAATTATTCCCCCCCCCCCCCCCCCCCCCTCATCAATCTACACACAATACCCCATAATGACAAAGCGAAAACAGGTTTTTAGACATTTTTGCAAATGTATAAAAAAAAAAACGAAATACCTTATTTACATAAGTATTCAGACCCTTTGCTATGAGACTCGAAATTGAGCTAAGGTGAATTTTGTTTCCATTGATCATCCTTGAGATGTTCCTGTAACTTGATTGGCGTCCGTCTGTGGTAAATTCAATTGATTGGACATGATTGGGAAAGGCACATACCTGTCTATATAAGGTCCCACAGTTGACAGTGCATGTCAGAGCAAAAACCAAGCCATGAGGTCGAAGGAATTGTCCGTAGTGCTCCGAGACATAATTGTGTCTAGGCACATATCTGGGGAAGGGTACCAAAAGATTTCTGGAACATTGAAGGTCCCCAAGAACACAGTGGCCTCCATCATTCTTAAATGGAAGAAGTTTGGAAACACCAAGACTCTTCCTAGAGCTGGCCACCCAGCTAAACTGAGCAATCGGGGGAGAAGGGCCTTGGTCAGGGAGGTGACCAAGAACCCGATGGTCACTTTGACAGAGTTCCAGAGTTCCTCTGTGGAGATGGGAGAACCTTCCAGAAGGACAACCATCTCTGCAGCAGTCCACCAATCAGGCCTTTATGGTAGAGTGGCCAGACAGAAGCCACTCCTCAGTAAAAGGCACGTGACAGCCCGCTTGGAGTTTGCCAAAAGGCACCTTTAAGGACTCTCAGACCATGAGAAACAAGATTCTCTGGTCTGATGAAACCAAGATTGAACTCTTTGGCCTGAATGCCAAGTGTCACGTCTGGAGGAAACCTGGCACCATCCCTACGGTGAAGCATGGTGGTGGCAGCATCATGCTGTGGGGATGTTTTTCAGCGGCAGGGACTGGGAGACTAGTCAGGATCGAGGGAAAGATGAACGGAGCAAAGTACAGAGAGATCCTTGATGAAAACCTGCTCCAGAGTGCTCAGGACCTCAGACTGGGGGCGAAGGTTCACCTTCGAACAGGAAAACAACCCTAAGCAACACAGCCAAGCCAACACAGGAGTGGCTTCGGTCAAGTCAAGTCTCTGAATGACCTTGAGTGGCCCAGCCAGAGTCCGGACTTGAACCCGATCGAACATCTCTGGAGAGAACTGAAAATAGCTGTGCAGCGACGCTCCTCATCCAACCTGACAGAGCTTGAGAGGATCGGCAGAGAAGAATGGGACAAACTCCCCAAATACAGGTGTGCCAAGCTTGTAGCGTCATACCCAAGAAGACTCGAGGCTGTAATCGCTGCCAAAGGTGCTTCAACAAAGTACTGAGTAAAGGGTCTGAATACTTATGTAAACACAATATTTCTGTTTTTTATTTCTAATAAATTGGCTAAAAGATCTACAAACCTGTTTTTGCTTTGTCATTATTATTGTGTGTAGTTTGATGAGGAGAAAAAACAATTTAATTCATTTTAGAATAAGGCTGTAATGTAACAAAATGTGGAAAAAGTCAAGGGGTCTGAATACTTTCCGAATGCAATGTATGTAAAGACAAGATTAAATCAAGAATAGTGTGATGGGTGACAATATTAGCCTATCACTTGTGAATGATGCCCAGCCTAGTCACACACCTCATGTAGCCTAGCCCATAGGCCTATATATTTTGATAAGGTTTGTATCACAACTAAAGTGGCCAAATAACTTCTTAAAATGAAGTACATTAATCCGCTTTACAAAGGGTGTAGAGCCTAACTGGCAAACACAGCACTTTTATAATACAAGCATTACATGCATAATCGCATTTGTGGTCATTTTTGAGAATGGTGTTTTCCTGCTAATGGAACATTTGCGCTTATAGTGTATTTCCGTGTGCGCATTTCTGCGCTTATTATGTGAAGAAATATCCAAAAAGTGTATCAACATTTTAAGCTAAATGTTCTCATCTGTTGCGTCAGGCTCATTGCTTAAAACATGTTTTTTTGATGCTAGTTGTTGTATGAATTTGGGATCTATCGCATCCTACAACTGTCCAGACTATGTTTGGAATATTTATTTCTTGCACAGAATAGAAAAAGTCAACTTTTGTACTATGGGGGATAGTAGATTGACATTGGCTAGTGCTTTTGCTGTTTGTTAGGCCTACTCATCTTGTTGGCTGACTAAAAGTAAATGAGGACAGTTCCAATATCTTCAATATGCGCCTCGGAATTGGATGAGGATGTGCGCAGTTGCATCCCGGATGTGTCTGTCTTCACTTGTAGCCTGTAGAAAGACCTGATCACGTGACAGAGAGCCATGTGAGTGAGAGGTGCTTCGGCATGCAGCAGGGAGAAGGGAATAATAATTATTGTCGTTAGCCCAAGGGCACAACAGCCACTGGCCGCAAAAGGCATGGATTTTTTTAGGGGGCATTAAGGCCACACAAAGGGGATGCAGCAGGGAAATTCGAGGCATTATCAAATTGTCAAATTGTGAATGAGTGACTGATGAAGTGTGTACAGCCTGCGCAAAAAAACTAAGCAGAGCTCAGGCTTTCCATGCAACTTTTTTCAAATAATCATTAGTCACATCATGCAGCCTTAGAATGTATTAAAAATCAAAACATACAGCCCAACATTTATATCACAACTAAAGTTACACAAATAACTCTTAATGAAGCATATAGGAGGACCTGTTTCTTTGTTAACCGCTCAACACAGAATAGCTGCATGTGCACACTTCCTCAAATGTTTGGAGAAAATATCCTCTCTATTTTATTAAGCTATGTTCAATTGTATTCTTCATACTATAAAATAATATGAAATAATGCCACGGAATTCTAAGCAAATCTTGTCTCCTAAATTAACTAGTGTAGCCCACAACCATGTGGCATAGCCAAATCAGGGCCTAACATAAGGACAACTCAGTGTATGCTATTCTGTTCTTCTGAAATAGACTACATTTTCTTCGTATCATGTTTCTTTAGACCTGTCTAAAATAAAGAATGGATTTATTGTGATGGTGTAGGCTATATTACATAGATTTATCAGTGGCTTGTAGGCTATGCGTGGAAGCCAGGATATGCAAAATGTGTTTATGTTAATGGGTTTATTAGTGGCTTGTAGGCTATGCGTGGAAGCCAGGAGATGCTAAATGTGTTTATGTTAATTAACGTCAACATTTGTATCACACCGGCAGTTATTTATTTGCTAGACAATCGCCGACTGACAAAATTTCATGACCGCCACAGCCCTAGGCTGGAACAAAAGCCTGCAACCTGTAGCTCTCTAGGACCAGGGTTGGTGACCACTAATTATTATCTTTACAAAAAGACCAGTAGATACTAAGGTTCCATACCGAGCCGTCTGCCTCCTGTTTGAGATTAACTGAGGTGGGGGAGGAGGGTCTCCCCAGAACTTCTGGGCAGTGGGAGGATGAAGAGTGGGTAGTGGTGGTGCTGGACAGCTTGCATATGGGGATATAGAGGTTCATGGAGGGAGGGGGCTGTCTGTCACCCCCTGGCTTCTTCAGTCTGACAGGGCCACTTATAGAGCAGCTGCAATCTAACACGACCAGAGGCCTCTTCCTGTTGTGGTTGTTACTGGAGCTGCAAGACAAAACAGAAGATACTGACTGAGGCTACAGTAGGAGTATCATTTTGGAGTCATTGGCTTTTACCGTAGCAAAATAACTCATTTTATTGAGCCTGTCAGTCTGTGGCCATTAAACTGCGGAGAGACATACTTAACGGTAGACTCAGCGATACATGACGTAAACAGCAAACAGCAGCTGATTTCCACAACAAAGAGTGTTGAAGCGTTAGGCTGAACTTCTCCGCTGTTTTGATCCTGTAGCTAGCACGTGCACATGCACAGATACTCTGTATGACTGTGTGAGAGCAAAGTCTTGCATCGTGTTGGAACGCTGAGTCTACCTTCAAAGGCCCAGTGCAGTCAAATATATATATATTTTAATGATATTGTACAACAGCTGATACAACTAACAATTTAAAATTGTGAAAAAATGTGATCAGTGTTATTTGCTGATGGTTGCTGGTTGAAAATACAATCTACACAGGACCTTCTAATCAGCAGGTTTTGCATGGGTGGAGTTTAGGCTTGCCTGGTGACAACACCAGGCAGTACATTAGTTAAGTAAAGTCAGTGACTCAGTGGTATTTTTGTATTGCTAACATAAACTAGAAGCAAAAAGACTGGATTCACACTCAGAAAAAAGTGAGACTGTCCGCTAGCCGTGCTCTGTCATGCTCGGGTCCACTCCATTCTCTTTCATCTGCGGTTGTTGGGCAGAGCTCTCTGCGGGAGGTGGATGACGTGCCAGAGGTAGAGTTCTGTGAGCCGGTAACGGCTACCATCATCTCCGGTGCTTATCTTTTTCTGTCCGGGACAAGGGCCAAGACATGTCACATTTTAGCTAGAGCCTCATCAAATCCGACAGCTGAAAGACACTAACCATGTGCTGGGGTGTATTTACAAGGAATCAAACGGATGTGAACCTGCCAAAACAGGGAGGGACCATAGAAATGGAGGAATCTAGTGCCATTTTGAAGTAGTTAACTGGGTGGGACTTCCTATGGGTTAAGGAAGGATCACATAATTCCATCCGGGTCATCAGAATGGATCAGCCAATGAATGATGCTTGTGAGCAAACATTCCATAACTGCAGGTGGCAGTAAATCGACAACCTTGGCTTTATACCTGTTCAGACAACACACTCCAGGTGGAAGTATGCACCCTTCAGTCATAGAAGTAGTAGAAGAAGAAAATAGACAGCTTCAAAATGGAGTTGGCCTCAATGGTGCTGGGTCGTCACTAGTTACCACAGCCACAAAGTGCTTATTTCTAAAATGTCTCTTCTCAAATCAAATAAAATTTTATTGGTTACATACACGTGTTTAGCAGATGTTATTGCAGGTGTAGCGAAATGCTTATGCTTCTAGCTCCGACAGTGCAGTAATATCTAACAAGTAATATCTAACAATTTCACAACATATACCCAATACACACAAATCTAAGTAAGGAATGGAATTAAGAATATATACATATATGGATGAGTAATGACAGAGCGACATGGACTAAGATACAGTAGAATAGTATAGACTACAGTATATACATATGAGATGTATTAATGCAAGATATGTAAACATTATTAAAGTGGCTAGTGTTCCATTTCTTAAAGTGGTCCTCTGTAGCTCAGCTGGTAGAGCAGGGCGCTTGTAACGCCAAGGTAGTGGGTTCGATCCCCGGGACCACCCATACACAAAAATGTATGCACGCATGACTGTAAGTCGCTTTGGATAAAAGCATCTGCTAAATGGCATATTATTATTAAAGTGGCCAGTGATTTCTAGTCTATGTCTATAGGTAGCAGCCTCTAATGTGCTAGTGATGGCTATTTAACAGTCTGATATACTGATTCTCCAGTACTTTTGTATACTTTTTAGCCAGTAGTTCTGAAAGTAGCACTCAAGAGCCAAAAGTTGTCCCCGAATATTACATTTACATTTACATTTTAGTCATTTAGCAGACGCTCTTATCCAGAGCGACTTACATATATATATATATATATATATATATTTTTTTTTATTTTATTTTTTTTATACTGGCCCCCTGTGGGAATCGAACCCACAACCCTGGCGTTGCAAACGCCATGCTCTATCAACTGAGCTACATCCCTGCCGGCCATTCCCTCCCCTACCCTGGACGACGCTGGGCCAATTGTGCGCCGCCCATGAGTCTCCCGGTCACGGCCGGCTGCGACAGAGCCTGGATTCGAACCAGGATCTCTAGTGACACATATTACGTACTATGTCACATATGTGCACTGTTGGGCCCGCCCTGCAACCTCATTGGATTACGCTGGGCAGGCCTTTCGCTAGCTGTCACTCAAATGCGTGGGGCTGAAGCTCATTGGCTAGAACTCAAATTGCTAGGGGGCTGGTCCATGTGGGGGAAAATAAAGGGAAAATGTCGCGGCACAGCTTCAAGAAAACAGTGTCTTTAAACTAGGGATTTTGTGGCTAATTGAGGTAAGACAGTCATTTTGCTCATAGAGTATACATTTATGAATTACACATTGACACATCCAGCCCAGAGCTGGAGGTTTAAAAAATACTTTGTCGACAAAATACCGGAGCATGTCTTTAAAATATGATTTTAAACCTAACCATACTACTAACCTTATGCCTAACCCTAACCTTAAATGAAGACCAAAAAGCAAAATGTTCTATGATTTTGACTTCATGAATGGGCTATCTAGTGGAAACCATGGCGCTGCCCGTGCGCTCACAGACGCCATAATGGGACAGATACAGAAGAGTCCTCTATCATTCTCTATGGGAGGGACCTAGCTACCTGAATGTGTCCAATAAGAAACGTTTAGCTACGGTGTGCACTAAAGCAATAAGGCACAAGGGGGTGTGGTATATGGCCAATCAGTGGAGGCTGCTGAGGGGAGGACGGCTCATAATAATGGCTGGAATGGCAAAAATGGAATGGCATCAAACCATGTGTTTGATGTATTTGATACCATTCCACTGATTCCGCTTCAGCCATAACCACGAGCCTGTCCTCCCCAATTAAGGTGCCACCAACCTCCTGTGTGGCCAATATACCACGGCGAAGGGCTGTTCTTAGACACGGCGCAACGCGGAGTCCCTGGATACAGCCCTTAGCCGTGGTATATTGGCCATATACCACAAACCCAGATGTGCCTTATTGCTATTATAAACTGGTTATGAACGTAATTAGAACAGTAAAAATAAATGTTTTGTCATACCCATGGTATATGGTCTCATATACCACGGCTTTCAGCAAATCAGCATTCAGGGCTCGAACCACCCAGTTTATAATAATGAATACACCCCTTCTGACCTCAAATCTCATACACCCAAATTCTTCTCTGCAGCTGCCACTACAACCTTTATTTTCTGCGACTTACGTTCCATCCCTGCGGTACATCTGATAACCATTACTATGAACGCTAGAAAGCCAATCTTACTGCATATATCACTCGTTGGCCTATCCCTCTGTATTGGCACAGATCTACTACTCACACAAATCCTCTCAGGATCCCTCCCCCTTGACCTATCTTCCTCTACTTCCTTCACTGCCTCAGCATACGACCCTGTGCACTACTCTAACCCTGGTAATCTCAACCTTCCTCTCTCACACCGGACATTTCTGATCCCCAGCCCCATGGGCACCCCTACAAATAACACATACCGCTTCTTTCCCCAATACTACACAATTATTTTGTCTCATGCCCTTCTGCACATTTCTCACACCTAGGAACCTCCCTCCTACACACTGCTGTAACATGCCCATAAGCTTGACACCTGTAATGTCACGACCGTCTTGAAAGGGAGCAGACCAATACGCAGCGCGTTGAGTGAACATGATGACTTTAATTAGTAAAGCACGTCAATACAAAACAAAAGACGATAGTGAAGTCCACAGTGACAATGACTGAACTTGGAACAAAAACCCACAATTCCCACAGGAAAACAATCAGATTAAATATGGCTCCCAATCAGAGATAACGAGCCGACAGCTGACACTCGTTACCTCCGATTGGGAGTCATTGACCAAACCTAGACATAAACCCCACAGAACTGCAAACATAGAAATACACCCAAAACCCAACATAACCAAACCAAAACCCAACAAAACAAATACACCCTGGCTCAAATATAAAAGTCCCGGAGCCAGAGTGTCACAGTACCCCCCCCTAAAGGTGCGAACTCCGGGCGCACCAGCATACAGTCTATGGGAGGGTCTGGGTGGGCGTCTGTCCACGGTGGCGGCTCTGGCCCTGGTCGTGGTCCCCACCCCACCTTAGTCACTATCCGCTTCCGTAGCCTCCTCCACATGACCACCCCCCAACTAAACCCCACTGGATTAAGGGGCGGCACCGGACTAACGGGCAGCACCGGACTAAGGGGCAGCACCGGACTAAGGGGCAGTACCGGACTAAGGGGCAGCACCAGGATAAGGGGCAGCACCGGGCTAAGGGACAGCACCGGACTCAATGGCGGATCCTGGCTGGCTGGCTCTGGCGGATCCTGGCTGGACGGCTCTGGCGGATCCTGGCTGGACGGCTCATGGCTGGCTGAAGGATCTGGCTGCTCATGGCTGGCTGACGGATCTGGCTGCTCATGGCTGGCTGACGGATCTGGCTGCTCATGGCTGGCCGACGGATCTGGCTGCTCATGGCTGGCCGACGGATCTGGCTGCTCATGGCTGGCCGACGGATCTGGCTGCTCATGGCTGGCCGACGGATCTGGCTGCTCCTGTCTGGCGGAAGGCTCTAGCGGCTCCTGTCTGGCGGAAGGCTCTGGCTGATCCTGTCTGGCGGAAGGCTCTGGCTGATCCTGTCTGGCGGAAGGCTCTAGCGGCTCCGGTCTGGCGGACGGCTCTGAAGGCTCATGGCAGACGGGCGGCTTATGCAGCGCTTGGCAGACGGACAGTTCAGACGGCGTTGGGCAGACAGGCAGTTCAGGCGCCGTTGGGCAGACGGGCAGTTCAAGCGCCGTTGGGCAGACGGGCAGTTCAGGCGCCGTTGGGCAGACGGGCAGTTCAGGCGCCGTTGGGCAGACGGGCAGTTCAGGCGCCGTTGGGCAGACGGCAGACTCTGGC